ACATTACATACATACTTCGCTTATTCTAACTTTAATTGTTATTGTAATATAATATTACATACATACAGGGTGTGTCGGCCACCCCTGGGAAAAATTTTGGTAATTATTTAGAAAAGGTGGGGTCTCGCAGATTTCGATGATTTTTGAATATGTTGTAGAAATCAAGATTTTGAACTTAACCGCCGCTCGGCCTTAGTTTCCGAGATTTTTCTTCAAAAAGATCGCTGCTATTACAATGAATTGTAAACTTTAAAATTTCCAAGTTGTCGGATCGAAAAATGTATTTGACTTTTGTGTTCCCCTCGTCGGGACTTGAAATTTAAAAAAAAAACGAATTCGATCCGACAACTTGGAAATTTTAAACTTTAAAGTCATTTTTTTCCAAAATGGCTGGCCATAAACGTCTAGAATTTTACAGATTACATTTGGACATCGGTCCCTACAACTCTGCCAAATTTGGTTCAAATCCCAGGTTTACAGGTCATGAGCCTCCCCTTGTGAGACATTTAACACTTTACCGACCGGTAGCGGTTGATTAATTGGCTATCGGTCGGTAAGCGTTGGTCGGTAAAGAAGTTGATTAATACGCTATCGGTCGGTAAGTGTTGGCCGGTAAAACAGTCGATTAATAGGCTATCGGTCGGTAAAGTGTTAAGTAGTAACTCTGACCGAAATAACCCGAAAATCTGAGAGCAATAGTCGGGAGTCTTAAGGGGTAGGACCACTGTAGAAACCGGAAATAAAGCGTTTCTTTGCGATTTTTTTTTTTAGATGGATGGAAAAATAAGAGGATAATTATTGGATTTGGGTGAAAAAGTAGTAGTCCTTCTTTTACTAAATGAAAGTTTATTCTTTGGTTTAGAAGGACGTCTTTACTCTGCTAAAACTGAACAAGAAGTGACGCGACGCTTAGGTCCCCTAAAAAGGAAAACTGGCGTCCACTTAAAAAGAAAGAAACCATTGCCTGCATCGTGTTTATTTCACTAGCCTTCGATGACAAAGACAGACCCAGGCCCCTAGAACCGATGGTGCCAATACGGTCTTCGACTACAGACAATGGACAGTGTTTCTCACTGTTAGATTCAGTTTTGTGAAGGATTATTTATTAATGTTGAATTTTGGCGCGCTAATCACTGGGTTATTGCGCACGTGCATTTCCCGAAGGCGCCGCCTCGGGACGAGTGTCTTTTGTCTGGGAGATTCGCGGATGTTCGTGAGAGTCCGGGGGTTCCCCGCTCTTCTGGTCGTAGCGTCCGGCGGAGTAACACGCGCTGTTGAGAAAAGGGCGAGGTTTCTCTTTTGTACCGCGCGCGTGGCGAAACGCGTTTTGTACGCGTGCTTTGTATTATATTGTTGCACAATAAATTCAGTAAAAAGCTAACAATTAATAATCCAACAATAATAATATTCAAGAATGTCATTAACCATGTTGTTGAGTATTAAAAAAAAAAGTATTTATTCGAAAATATGACCTTCCCTTGTGAGACAAGGGATGTACAGTAGTCGCCTCATTTGAAGCCTCGCGGGACGGCACTGGGGCAAGAGGAGTCAGACCCGCCCATTTATCTATCTTCCTCCCTTCCTCTCACGCAGTCCACATGTGTGTGTAACTGCCGCGACGAATAGCGAGCGAGAGATCAATGTATACGTGGGAATGTGTGTATCCCTTCTACTTCTCCCGTATTTCTTCCGCGGGACTTCAAGTGTGGCGACTACTGTACATGTTCGAGCACGTTGTATTGTTTCGATGGGTCACGTCGTCGCGAACGTCGCATTACGTCGTTGCATGTCAATCGGTACACTACTGTACAGCCATATTTGATTTGATGAATCTTTCCAATTTCTTCGTTAATTGTGTCTGAGTTTATTACTTCGTATCCTGACCTCATCAACACTAGAAGTCAAAATAAGACGAAAATCAAGAATATCAATTTCTTGACTGAGGCTTCGTTAAAAAGTTATTAAAAAATTAAATTAAAAAATTTCAAGTTATACTAAAAAAATTATATTTAGTTACAGGGATCAATTACAAGCATTTTTGGTGAATAGACCTACCCCCGAAATTCTATCCACTTTCAAAAAAAAAATTCGAATAGTTACTGAAATTTTTAGACGAAATCAAAAATTTTCAAATCATTTTGAAAAAATTATTTTTAGTTGCGGGGGTCAATTACAATCATTTTTGGTCATTACGATTACCCCGGAAATCCTACGCACTTTCGAGAAAAAAATTCTTTGCCGAAAATTTAATTAGGCGCCTAAATTCAACGAAAAAAAAAATTTCAAATCGGTCTGGAAAAATTATTTTCGGTCGCGGGGGTCAATTACAATCATTTTTTATTATTAGACATACCCTCGAAATCCTACCCATTTTCTAGAAAAAAATTCGGGAATGTGTGAAATTTTTCAACAGAATTAAAAAATTTCAAATCGTTCTGGAAAAATTATTCTCGTTTGCGGGGGTCAATTACAATCATTTTTGGTGAACAGACATACCCCCGAAATCCTGCGCATTTTCGAGAAAAAAATTCGAGTAGGTGGTCAAATTGCCGTTCGACAGCCACAACTTGAAACGTTAATAACTTTTTAACGAAGCCTCCATCAACAAATTGATATTCTTGATTTTCGTTTTATTTTGGTCTCCAGAATCAACCATTAAAATTTTTCCCAGGGTTGACCGAACACCCCTGAATAATTTGCATTTGGACTCTAAGCAAGTGGTATAAATAAAAAATGGTAAAACCTGGTAAAGTATCCACTCATGAACAACGGAAACGGTATGTTTTGAGTTATTGTCTTGCTGTAAATAGTAATCGTCTTCCAGATTCAGTTTCGTTGCACTTATTTGCAGTTTTCTTATCGAATATTTTTATATTTAATCTTGTTCATGATATCATCGATGAAGATAAGATTATCCACTCTGGATTGCTGTCAAGTAGCCCTAAACCATCGCAAAGCCTCTATCGTGCGTTACAATCTTCTCTAAGTTTTTTTTAATTCCAGTCTCTTTTATTACTTTTATTTTAGTAATTCTTCGTAAATGCTACTTATCGACATTTTTAGTCAACAGAAATACCCCCGAAATCCTACTCAGTTTCGAGAAAAAAATTCAGGAAGATCGACAAATTTTTTGACAAAATTAAAAAATTCCAAATCGTTCTGGAAAAATTATTCTCGTTTGCGGGGGTCAATTACAATCATTTTTGGTGAACAGACATACCCCCGAAATCCTGCGCATTTTCGAGAAAAAAATTCGAGTAGGTGGTCAAATTGCCGTTCGACAGCCACAACTTGAAACGTTAATAACTTTTTAACGAAGCCTCCATCAACAAATTGATATTCTTGATTTTCGTTTTATTTTGGTCTCCAAAATCAACCATTAAAATTTTTCCCAGGGTTGACCGAACACCCCTGAATAATTTGCATTTGGACTCTAAGCAAGTGGTATAAATAAAAAATGGTAAAACCTGGTAAAGTATCCACTCATGAACAACGGAAACGGTATGTTTTGAGTTATTGTCTTGCTGTAAATAGTAATCGTCTTCCAGATTCAGTTTCGTTGCACTTATTTGCAGTTTTCTTATCGAATATTTTTATATTTAATCTTGTTCATGATATCATCGATGAAGATAAGATTATCCACTCTGGATTGCTGTCAAGTAGCCCTAAACCATCGCAAAGCCTCTATCGTGCGTTACAATCTTCTCTAAGTTTTTTTTAATTCCAGTCTCTTTTATTACTTTTATTTTAGTAATTCTTCGTAAATGCTACTTATCGACATTTTTAGTCAACAGAAATACCCCCAAAATCCTACTCAGTTTCGAGAAAAAAATTCATTACCGAAAATATAATTTCAGACCGGAAATGCTTCCCCAAATTTTCATGCGAATCTTTAAAAAGTCATAACTCTTGAAAGAATTGAAGGATTTCAACGTTTCAAAAGGCTAACGACGCGTATTTTGGTGGAGAATATGCAGAAATTCTAACAATATTGAAAAAGTTGTTCCTTGACCCCGTAAAAAGTGAGAGAAACCTCATAAAAATGGTCCACTTTTCAAGGAGCCATAACTCCCACAAAAGTGAATATATTTCAATGAAACTTTTTCCTGAAGTAGAGATCATGGATACCTACGAAAAAGTATTAGACAACTTTTCTATATGGCGTCAAACAAAATTACTAAAAATCAAAAACGAATTTTTAAGAAAAATCGAGGGGGTGCCTAAATTTTTGAGCAAAAAAAAATTTCAAATCGCTCTAAAAAAAATATTTCTAGGTTCTGGGGTCAAATACAACTATTTTTGGTGAATAGACATACCCCCGAAATCCTACCCATTTTCTAGAAAAAAATTCAATAAGGGCGTAACTTTAAACGTTAATAACTTTTAAACGAAGCCTCCATCAACAAATTGGTATTCTTGATTTTCGTCTTATTTTAGCCTCTAGAATCTCCCATTAAAACTGCTTCAATGCGTAATCGGGATTTTTCAGAATTTTTTGCGGTTTTTTATTTTTTACTACTTGGTTCTTCGATCTAAAAATCTGGAAAATTTCCAAAACATGTGCCCCGGTACCCGAAATGTCTCTGAATTTTTTTACATTTTTTGATTCAATAAAACAAGAAAAATTGCGCAAAAAAAAATGATTTTCTTTATCACCCCGTTACTCACCCCCACCGTCGAGATTTCGCGTTAAAAATTGGCACAAAGGGTTTTCTTTTGATAAGCTATCGAACGACCCATTGCACGTGCAATTTGATTTGTGGTCACATTTGACCCCCTTAGTCGACCCTATCGTACCCTTTGGTACGAGTAATCTTTGGATTACGTGTTCATTAATAATAAAAAATTTATTGGAAAATCTTAGACGCAGAAATCTGAATGTTGTCGTAGAATTTTTGTTTAATAAATTATATTTGCGTAACATCGTAACTAGTAAACGATAATAATAAGGGAGCCTCATGAATGAACGGTGAGAAAGTAAACGAAGGAAAATTACGTACTTCGTCTAAACGTAGTAATTCCTCAGCAGACATGCTACTTCGGTCACGTTTCTTGACATCTTTTCGTTCCTTCTTTTCGCGCTTCCTCTTCTCCTTGTCGTCCTTTTCCGTGGCCTTCTTTATAAAGTTAAACATTTTTTCATTCGCGGTGGAAATGTCGAGTCGAAGGCGAGAAAGAGATAACAGAAGATCTCCCCTCTTGGTTGCTCGCACCTACACACTTTACGCGCAGCCGCGTACTTCAGTCGACCCCACACGCATAACGCGACACTGTCCATCGAACCGATTATGTAGATAACATTGAAAGGGCACGGAGTATCTACATGTCACTTTTCACTGCACCTTTTTGTTGGTGCTGTTGTCGAGTAATCAAAGTTCTGCTTGTAAACAAATGTAATATCTCGGGTACGATTCATGCGCATCGGTAACGACGTGGATGGGTTGATACTTTACACCCGAATCGAGCAAATTGTTAAAAAAAATATGAATATATTTACGCGGACGAAGACGCAACGTAATCCTCGATGTACAACGAAACTGACAGCCAGCGCAGCATTAAATGCACGTCACGATACAGTCACCCTATCACATCCACCAGAACGGAGTAAGCGTGCTTAGGACGCGTGCAATTTGTATACGAGGGGACACTCTATTTTAGAACGACAATGCCATCGTTCGTTTGCCAAACAGTCACACGCGAGTACTCGATGGCATGTAACAGCCTAGCCCATTGAATCGTTTTCCTTATCAAAAAGACACAATCAATAATAGATGAAAGTTCAACGTCGTACTCGCGTGACACCGATACCTGTCATGGCAGACTCGTTGCAAGTTTCAAGTAAGACCAGTGGCGACTGCTGGTGTCGTAAACCGAATCACAGCATGCGAGAACCCCACCACGGACGAGGTACAGGATAGACTGTGCATCTTATAGAAGTTGGTGTCGCGCGAACTGAAATACCGACCTGGTAAAAAAGCCAGTGGTATTCGAGCGACCTCTTCGCTCGAAGAACGGTGATCATGGGAACTACAGCCAATCGAACTTCTGAAATCGGTAATGTTAACAAACGTAGAATCACAGACGTGGTAAGTATGCGAGTAGACCTTTCACCCAATGTATTTTTTCGGTTCATTGTTATGGGGCTTTAGAGCCCCATTACCATTTTCGTGTTAATCGCAACATTAGAAACAGGTTACACAAGTGAACGCAAGAGGAAGTGAGACGGAACATTCCTGGTCACACATTATATTTTCGGTGAGAGAATTTTTTTTCTCGAAAATGCGCAGGATTTCGGGATTATGACTATTCACCAAAAATGATTATAAATAACCCCTGCAACTGAAAATAATTTTTTTTAGAACGATCTGAAATTTTTCAGTTTTGTCGAGAAATTTGTCCACTTACTGAATTTTTTTCTCCAAAATGGTTAGGATTTCGAGGGTATGTCTGTTCACAAAAAATTATTGTAATTGACCCCCGCGAACAATAATAATTTTTTCAGGACGATTTGAAATTTTTTTTTTCGCCGAAAAATTTAGTCACCTATTCCCTTCTTAAAAATTCGTTTTTGATTTTTAGTAATTTTATTTGACGCCATATAGAAAAGTTGTCTAATACTTTTTTGTAGGTACTGATGAACTTTACTTCGGGAAAAAGTTTCATTGAAATATATTCACTATTGTACGAGTTATGGCTGTTTGAAAATTGGACCATTTTTATGGGGTTTTTTCTAACTTTACGGGGTCAAGGAACAACTTTTCCAATACTATTAGAATTCCTACATATTCTTCACCAAAATACGCGTTGTTTGCCGTTTGAAACATTAAAATACGAAAGAAATTATCGAGTGACATTTTTGATCTGAAATTATATTTTCGGTAAGGAATTTTTTTCTCGAAAATGCGTAGGATTTCAGGGGTATGCGTAATACTAAAAAATGATTGCAATCGACTCCTGCAACCAAAAATAATTTTTTTAGTATGATTTGAAATTTTTCGATTTTGTCTTAAAATTTCAGTACCTACTCGAATTTTTTTCTCGAATGTGTGCAGGATTTTAGGGGTATGTCTATTGACCAAATATGCTTGTAATTGACTGCTGAAAGTAAATATAATTTTTTTAGTATGATTTGAAATTTATTAATTTCGTCTTGTAATTTCAGTAGCGACTCGAATTTTTTTCTCGAAACTTAGTGGAAATACAGGGGTATGTCTATTCACCAAAAATTATTGTAATTGACCCCCGCAATCGATAATAATTTTTTCAGGACGATTTGAAATTTTTTTTTTCGCCGAAAAATTTAGTCACCTATTCCCTTCTTAAAAATTAGTTTTTGATTTTTAGTAATTTTGTTTGACGCCGTATAAAAAAGTTGTCTAATACTTTTTTGTAGGTACTGATGAACTTTACTTCGGGAAAAAGTTTCATTGAAATATATTCACTATTGTACGAGTTATGGCTGTTTGAAAATTGGACCATTTTTATGGGGTTTTTTCTAACTTTACGGGGTCAAGGAACAACTTTTCCAATACTATTAGAATTCCTACATATTCTTCACCAAAATACGCGTTGTTTGCCGTTTGAAACATTAAAATACGAAAGAAATTATCGAGTGACATTTTTGTTCTGAAATTATATTTTCGGTAAGGAATTTTTTTCTCGAGAATGGTTAGGAATTCGGGGGTATGTCTATTGACCAAAAATGATTGTTCCTGACCCCCGCCATCGAAAATAATTTTTTCTGTGTGATTTGAAACTTTTCAATTTCGCCAAAAAATTTGGGCACTTACTCCCTCTCGATTTTTCTTAAAAATTAGTTTTTGATTTTTAGTAATTTTGTTTGACGCCGTATAAAAAAGTTGTCTAATACTTTTTTGTAGGTACTGATGAACTTTACTTCGGGAAAAAGTTTCATTGAAATATATTCACTATTGTACGAGTTATGGCTGTTTGAAAATTGGACCATTTTTATGGGGTTTTTTCTAACTTTACGGGGTCAAGGAACAACTTTTCCAATACTATTAGAATTCCTACATATTCTTCACCAAAATACGCGTTGTTTGCCGTTTGAAACATTAAAATACGAAAGAAATTATCGAGTGACATTTTTGTTCTGAAATTATATTTTCGGTAAGGAATTTTTTTCTCGAGAATGGTTAGGAATTCGGGGGTATGTCTATTGACCAAAAATGATTGTTCCTGACCTCTGCCATCGAAAATAATTTTTTCTGTGTGATTTGAAACTTTTCAATTTCGCCAAAAAATTTGGGCACGTACTCCCTCTCGATTTTTCTTAAAAATTAGTTTTTGATTTTTAGTAATTTTATTTGACGCCATATAGAAAAGTTGTCTAATACTTTTTTGTAGGTACTGATGAACTTTACTTTGGAAAAAAGTTTCATTTAAATATATTCACTATTGCAGGAGTTATGGTCGTTTGAAAATTGCGTTTTTTAATAACGTGTTGGTAACGTTGCGAGTGACACGAAAATGACAATGGGATTCCAGAGTCTCCAATCCCAAAGAAATGGACCGAAAAAATATAGTGGATGCAACCATCTACTCGTATACCTCGTCCATGCTCGTATCCTTCTCAGTCGGCAAAGTTATTGAGAACGAGCGCAATGAAACCTACTTTTCAATCCAATAGATGGCAGCACACAACAATTTATCATGTTCAGAAAGAATTCAAGGGATTCTGCAAAGAATTACCTCGCTATCGTATTGCTTTATCGCATACACGTAACTACAAATTATCATCCTTTCTAAATGTTGAAACAATGTTGTCTAGAGGCCTCTTGTTCGTTCATACTTTTGTCAGAGCCATAAATGTCGAAATACATTTACATTGTAGGCAGACTGTCTCGTTATATAAATCGACGCAACGTCTGTGCACAATAAACAGACAGTGCCCCACCGTCGGTGAAGTTGTCGAAGAATGGAGCAACCGATTCAAGATCGAAGGTATTCCAGAACCTGTAGAATCGATCGAACACATCGTAGCACACATCATAAACACTAATAAGGTATCATAATCGACGAATAACGAAAACATTCGCACCGTTCAATCGCTGATTAAAATTAACGAATAAAAGGACAAGAGACCCAATTACTGTCACTCGTACAACCAACTCTAGTTATGTTAAAGGGTTTTTTTTCTTATATATAATAATATACTATACCTTTGATAATAATGATTCAATACCTTTAATTTAAGAAAAATGTTTTGGAAACTATTACCGTTATCCCTAAAACGTGTTTTACCGAATCACATTACTGTCAGACCGGAGATTACTGTTCTTTTAACCAAAAATCAAATTTGTGTATTACCAAATCAAATTTATTAGAGTGCAAAAATACTTTTGTGTTCCACGTTTGTATGAATGATTACTTAGGAACGATTACTAATGAAAACGTAGGTATGCATATAATTCTAGAAACATTGTACATGTAACATAGAAACATAATATTAGGTTAGGTGCGCACCGACTATCGCCCTGCCACGAGAAGAAGGCACAGCACTGGCGCAGCGTGTTTACATCCCCACTCTTGCTGCAGTCCGCTGATTGGCTGTCACCGATCTTCGTCACCGTTTTCGACCAATGAGTGAGTCAGCGGACTGCAACAGGAGTGGGGAAGTAAACACGCCTGTGACGCTGTGCCTTCTTCTCGTGGAAGCAGTGATTGGACATTCGTGGGAACTTTGGTCATGCGCACTGGAACAAAATTTAAGGAAGTTACAGGGAAAGGACAAAAACAAAAAATTTCCTCTTAATCTACATGAGTATAGCTAGAGAAATACGTAGGGGATCTTCGATAAATTAATTTTTGTGTGATTGGCGAGCATTTGAAGTAGAAAGTTCAATTTTGTACAAAACATGGGCACCTCTTTTTGCGCTAAAGATACATCTTTGGCAGAAAGTTAACGCATGCGCAAAACGGAATCCCACGAGGGAGAATTCTAGCGCGCATGTCCAAAATTCCCACGAATGTCAATCACCACGTGGAAGAATGGTACAACACGAGTGACAGACATAACCGTACTGTTTTGTATCCATCAGTAAATGCTATTATGACAAGTTAAGTAAAACAGTTTATGATGACATTAGGTAGGTAGAGATGGCAGTAAATGGGTCATAAATCGTAAGTACTAATATTTTAATTGCTTACTTGTTTTTTTACTTATTTCTTTCTTAGAGCATTTGTCTTTAAAAAACTTGTTTTCAGATAACAGATGTTATAACAGCCCGAAATCTGAGACTCACGTTAGATCAATGTTCCAAGTTGGAATCATTGTGCGAATGCAGGTTATCTAGGTAAAAATATTTGCCGATATTGGGTTTCGTATACATTTGATAGTTATAAAGAAGGAACATTCCTAGCAAACGGCCCGTTCACCGATCGGGGTGAGTTATACGTCATTCGATTCGTCTAATTCAATACATTATTAATATGCATTTCATTATAAATTCGTTATTTTTTTATAAACTTGTCGTAAAGTTACAGTAAAAAAGTAAGGTTAGGTACATTTTTTGACAGGTTCACAGATAGAAACAAGTGACTATCGTTGCTATGTTCATGTTACAAATATAAATGATTGATCTAATTTGATAATGCTACATTGCCAAATGGGAATTTGTAGAATGCGTATGCATAAAAATCATTTTGTTACGGATAGACTTTGCATGAGTCGGTCAGGTAGACAGTATGTGCCGCAACAATCCCCCCCCCCATATAACCCAGACCAACTCAGACAGTACTTGTAGGTAGACAGTGTATGCAGCAAGAGCAAAAAATGTTGCCCCCCCCCCAAACAGTGTTTACGGGTAGAGAATATAATAAATTACTATTGTATGCAGTGCGTTGGATTAACTTTTTCTTATTATTAAATTTCATTATCATCATTGTAGCATGTATTCATATATATCATTTTCCTAAAAAATGTAACTTACAAATTTAAGTTATTCACACCACTTATAATCACTTTTGTAAACTGTTAAATTCATGTTTAGCTATATAACTCTCACAAGAGTTTCACAAAGCTAAATAATAATAATAAAAAAAAAAAAACAGTAAAAAATGTTGCCACCCTCCTCTAAAGGCGTGATTCCACTGAGGCAACATGTCGCATGCGATTACGACGCATGCACCATGAAATCGACGTTATGTAGACACTTGACATGTGTATTTGCTACACATTCATTTGTTTCCTTTCCGAAATAAAGAAATACAGGATTATTTGATATTGTTCTGTCGAATCGACAAGATTGAATATGTCGAGTAATGTCGTCAGTTAATGACAAGTAGCATGCTACAGGTCGCATAGCATTGCCTCAGTGGAATCATACCTTAACAGTGTTCATGGGTAGACAATATAATAAATGCAGTGCGTTGGATTAACTTTTTTTTATTATTCAATTTCATTATCATCTAGGTCTGGTATATTTTGGTTTTCTGTAGAATCAAATGAAATTTCTGCAATTTCTTTTAATAGCTGGTTAAATAAATCATCCTTTCCTTGCTTGGAAAATTTGTAAAATACGTAGTGGCTTAAATACCCAATGAAATTATCTTTTTTGCTAAAAATAGAAAATTTTATGGTATTATATGTTACAGAAAATATTAAAAAACGTGCAAAATTACAAATACTAACCGACAATATTCAGGCAAAAAGTGTTTACTATGCCTCCGCGTAGTTTCTATCGTATTTGTATGAGCGCCTGTTTCTGGGTCTTTGAAATGTAAGCTGTGATTTACGGTAAGATGTTTGTACCCCTCTTTCTCTAAGATGTTATAGGCTTTCCAACAATCTGAAATAATTGTTGTGCCAGGCAACACCCATTGTTTAATTATTGAAAGCAGGGACTCTGTGTCCCTACTTTCAACAGGCACCAGGAATATTTTTCCACTTCCTCTTTCTATTCCTCCAAAAAGCCATTGTCCCTCTACGCGATGACCTCTGTGATATTTTCTTCGTCCGAACTTAGATTCGTCTATTTCTACTATTTTGCCTGGTCCGCCAAGTACTTCGCATGAATGTTGTAGCCAATCAGTCATAACTTGTTTTACAAAATAATTCCATTGAGAAACAGTATTTTTATTCAATTGTAATTCTCGTACGATCTGATATTGATCAAAATTATGGACTAACATGTAAGTTAATTTTAATACCATTTCATAAGAAAGCTTTGTTTTTGAAAACCACGTTCCACGTTTTACACATATTTTTACATCACAAGTTCGCTTTCGTTTGCAAGCACTAAGAGATGCTGCAATTGTTCTTCTACAGCGCCAATTTTCATTTATCAATTTCATTGCATTTCCACATCATGGGCAATTAAGATTTTTGGCAATCAACTTTTTATCTTGCAAAAATTTTAATAAAGCTTCTTTATTTTTACAAAATTCGTGCAATTTAAATAAGGTCCACACTTCTGGAACTACTAATTCGGTCATTTTTATAGCACGGTCGAACAAAATTCACAAAGTACAAGAAACGGAAGAAAATCAGAAATGACAGTTGAAACAAATGATTACTGAAACAATTTCTGCTTTTCTTCTGTTTCTTGTACTATCTGCAATGTGGAAATGTTATGAAAATTGGCAATGCAGGATAACTATTCCAGGATCTGTCGATCAAACTAAACGTAAAAGACATTGTAATATAAAGATATTTGCAGAGCAAAGAATGTGGTTTTTGAAAACAAACTCAGTTACAGATGTTTTAAAATTAACATTTATGCTAACATATAATTATGAGCAATGTCATATTATTATATAACTAAAATTAAATAAAAATACTGCTCAGCGATTGGAAGAGTAGAGTAGATTGTCGAGATCGATGAATCAACATTTTGTCATAGAAAATATCACAGAGGTCGCTTGAAAATTAATCACAGCGTCAGTTTTGAAGATCCCATTACCGATGCTTACACGAATTAAATTGAAACCACTTGGAGGCATGCTACACATTTTTTAATCTTTTTTATAACATATAATACTATCAATATTTTATATTTTTAAGAAGAGTAACTTCATCGAATGCCTGAGCCATTATGTATTTAGTAAATGTACCTAATAGAAAAATGGTGATTTATTCAATGAAATATTAGCAGAAATAGTAGAAATTTCATTCAATAAATGTTCAACAAATTAGCATTTGACTACCTAGCATTTTGAACAGAGTAACGACAGTCACTTGTTTCCACCTGTGGATTTGTCAAAATATACTTAACCTTACTTTTTTACTGTAACTTTACGACAAGTTTATAAAAAAATAACGAATTTATAATGAAATGCATATTAATAATGTATTGAATTAGACGAATCGAATGACGTATAACTCACCCCGATCGGTGAACGGGCCGTTTGCTAGGAATATACCATAAAGAATAGATTTTTACAGGATGCCAGTACAGTACATAATAGGAGAATGGGATTTTCGAGATATTACTTTAAAACTAGTCCCACCTGTTTTCATTCCGCGGCCAGAAACTGAGATATTAGTTGATATTGTGTTAAAAAGACTAAGCTTCTCGCAAGAAAAAGAACAGAAGATTTTAGAACTCGGATGCGGTTCTGGAGCAATATCTCTTGCAATTGCTCACAGTAACAAAACGGTGATTATCGTTAGATTTCACGACTTACGAATGTTACATATTTTTAGATTAAAATTGATTTCTAAGCGATAAAAGACGTACATTTAACAATGATTCTTTTTAGGTAAATTGCATAGCGATCGATGCAAACCGTCAGGCATGCGAATTAACTAAAAGCAATCGAGATAGATTAGGTTTAGAAAATCAAGTTGTAATTGTACATGCGACTCTCAAAGACGATGGAACAATCGAACTGTCGAACGTACTAAGTGGACCAGAAAATCTTGATTTAAATTCAAACTCATTCGATTTTATAGTTAGCAATCCTCCGTATGTACCTACTAAGCAGATACTTAAATTATCTCCAGAAATTAAAATGTAATTGAATTACTTTTTATATTTAATCATACAGGATGTTCAAAAAGAACCATTCAATATTTATATGGTATATAGGATACACTGTACCGAGTAAAAGAGCTTTAGTAAACATAGGTCGTAAGGTCAACCATTTTTGAGATATAAACATTTTTGTTTGCTAGTATCATGATTGACTTAGTTGCTTATTTCAACTTCTTGGTGAATATATTACCTCCGTACTTGGATGATATGCCTTTGGCAGAAAGATTATCGATGTGGTACATGCATGATGGGGCACCACCTCATTTTGTGCGTAATGTGAGAGACCGTTTAAACATGGTGTTCGGTTAAAGGTGGATTGGACATGGTGGACCAGTTGCATGGCCTCCTCGATCCACCCTTTGGACTTCTTCTTATGGGGATATTTAAAAAGTGTATTCCTCTCCGATGAATGACTTGGAAGAATTACGTAACCGAATCCACCATTCTTGTCAAACAATTCAACAGAAATGTGGAATTTTCGAGAGAGTAGAAATGGAAGATGGACACATGGAAAATCTTCTGCAAACATCGAAAATTCAGTAGTAAGTCAATTATGATAATAACAAACAAAAAAGGTTAAAAACTCAGAAACGGTTGACCTTTCGACCTATGTTTAATAAAGCTTTTTTACTCAGTACAATGTATCCTATATACCCTATTAATATTGAATGGTTCTTTTTGAACACCCTGTATGGTATTATACGCGAGCGAAATATACTTAACACGTTCCGTGCCAGATCGTTTTTTGAAGACTTTCCGTAGTCTAGTAATTATTTTCTATGGTTCAAAAGTTACACAAAAATGACACGGAATTTTTCAGTTTCGATCACTGTGGGCACCCAGGTTCAGTAAAGCAGTAATTGTCGCATCAATGGCACACTAATAAGTGACTGATTGAATTGTGATATACAGTTGCAACGAATTCCAGTAAAAAAGAATGACTACCACGCTGCGTGGGGCATATATGCCCCACGATCAAATAAGCAACAGTAATAGTATTAAGATAACCATAATTGACTGCATAATAAATTTAAAAAAAATTCTTCATTTTACAATGACAATACCCAATGGCTTGAAAGGAACGTGTTAAGTATTCTTTTGGTTTTACTGTAACAAACTTCAACGTTATGTTTCTACTGTTTAGTTATGAAGATTTAAGAGCGCTCGATGGAGGAGACGATGGATTAAAAATAATCAAACCTCTGTTAAAATATGCTTCTACGGTTTTAAAAACTGGTGGACATTTATTTTTAGAGGTTGACTCAACGCATCCTGAATATATAGAATTTTTTACGAAAAAATATTCTACCCTTAAGCTTAAATACGAGCATACGTGCAAAGACTTTTGTAACAATGATCGATTTGTCGAAATATTAAAAATGCCATAAGTCTGCTTCACGCAAAGGAAAAATAAAAATAAAGACAACACGAAGATATTAAAGTGTGAAAAATCATTTGTAGTTTTACAATTAATAAATAGTAAACCTTGATAATAGTAACGTAAGTTTATGAAATCCAGAATCCTCACAATTTATTCTAATCGTTATTATACAAGGTATCCAGTAGTTTTAGTAGAAAAGGAGAAAGAAATATACACTAATATTGCCTGAAATTACTAGACATGACAAATATCCGATTATGCCATAACAACATCTAATCATAGAATTATAAAACTGCGTTGGATATAAACATTCACTGTTGAATTGGATGACGAGGAACTACGGAATAGCCAATCCATTCCTTGGATACCTCTCCGTCAGTCTTCCATCTATAAATTAGAAAGTACTGTTTATTATGAAACATCTACGGTCAGACACGAAAGTTTTCATACACCCCCTAAAATGATCGTTTGATCACAAATGCTGTTGTTAAGAGTGGACGTAGTCAGAGGTCCCAGAGAGCAGAAGTCAGTAGTAATTGTTATACGTTGTCAGAAGTATCAGATGTGGTCAGCAACGGTCAGCAGAGGCCAGCGGAGGACTGTAGGAAAATTCAAAAGTACATGTAGTCGTACTTTTTACCTTACACTTGAGGTAAAAAGGGGTATAACTGGGTAAAACAGTTTTCTGACATTACCTGCTAACTCAAGTTAGTTTGGAATCGTATGCCGTTGACGTGTGGTCGGATTTCGGGTGTTCAAGAGCGAGAAGGCAAATGTGAGCCTTTCTCTCTCGTCTCCCACGAGGCGGTCCGAAATTACTTCGGGCAGCTTCGGGGAATCGAGAAAGAGGGCACGCGTCAGTTTGTCTTTGTCGACTCTCCGAGACTCCACGAGCTCACGCATGCGTGATGTGGCATGTGTGAGTAAGGTCGATGTTTTTCTGGCACCTCACGACGCCATGACAATGTAAAGAAAATATTATCGGGGAAGCCCAGATATTATGTTCCAAAAATTTACTAGATTCATTAGATTTACTACCTTCGTGTTTTAGTGTACGATTAATTTTGTGACATACAGATTTCATTTTTTTTTTTTTTGCCTCATTGTGTATGAAATATTTAAAAAAAGAAAAAAAAATAAATTTGTAGTTTAATTAATAATATTATACATAATAGTAAATGAGAAGATTGTAAGATAAGGAGGAGTGCTTGTAACCCTAAGGGGAAGGCAATAAAGTTATACTAGTACTACATAATAGTAAATGAATTTAATATTATACGAAATTGTTGCTCATTTTCTTTAAAATTACTATTTCAGGGGATGTACGAAGACTTTCGTGTCTGACTGTATAATGTCAGAGAACACGAATAAGTAAATTCTTTAAAAATATGGTATATAGAATATTTAAACTAATTTATTGCAGTTTAATAAATTCTTCCATGAATTTTTTATATTTTGATTATAAAAGTATCCTTCTATCGACGAAACGGGTTACAAAATGGTATTAATCTTAACACATTACCGACCGATAGCCTATTAATCGACTGTTTTACCGGCCAACACTTACCGACCGATACCGTATTAATCAACTTTTTTACCGACCAACGCTTACCGACCGATAGCCGATTAATCAACCGCTACCGGTCGGTAAAGTGTTAAACGAAGCGATTCGTTAATAAATGAAATGATTCTATTATTCAATAGAATACGTTTAACAGAAAAAAATGAATTTATTGCATTTCTTATAAATAGTTCATCTATGAATTATGATATGTACAATGAAAATGTAAAATACAATAAATGTTTTAGTGAATCGATTAACCAAATAAAAAAAATTTAATACAGTTGTTTGAACGAATAAAAAGACACTGCAATATCCTTAAATAATTATTCTCTTTCTTGCAATTCGTAACTGCTGTTATACATATAATGTTAATTTATGTACTCGTTATTTTTCTTATCAAAGTTTGTATAAAGTGTTACATTACAATGGGTGTGTTACATATACACGATGTAGATAAATATTTCTTATTCAAAATCGGGGAAATCCTACCCTGTATGAATTTGCTTCAAATTTTGCACATTGGTACATCTACAGGGTGATTTACACAAATGTATATTTCGGTTTTCGTTCGACTTAGACTGAATATCTACTTTTTTCAACATTATTAATAACAGTAATATTATTGAAAAATGGATACAATTTTGTTCGAAAAAATGTCTTTATCGAAATAAATGTTTAAACATCTTTCCACCACATTTATTATGATTATCAATACTGTCTGGTCATTACTCTGCGATGGATTGTAATTTGTTCTTTTAGATCTACTGAATTAATAGGGTGTGTGTGTACACCTTATTTTTTGTGCATCCTCATAAAAAAATGTAGGAGATTGCAAATGTGGTGGCCATGGTATTCAAGAACGTGTACTGAAATACGCCATATAAGAAATTATGTAATTATCCTTCCATTGTGAACTGGTACACCATTTTATTGGAAATATTCTAAATGTGATAGACTAGTAGAATTGGCTTCCGGGTTGGAGCCGCGTTCAGAAGACGAGAGAGTCCGACGTTTCGCCAGCATTGCAGCTAGCTTCATCAGGGAATCAAATAATCTCTGATACTGAAGAAAGTATCAGAGGGGGCCCTAACTTATACATGTGTCCATCGTTGCGGATCAGTGCACCATCCAATAGTTTTTAATTGGGCAGCTGGCCAATTAAAAAACTGGGAGGAGACTGTTCCAGATTGGATTGAGACATAGACCTTTATCCCGATTGATGTTGTTCGGGTATTTTCGGATTTTTACCGCTTCACGGTATTTCCTGGGGAAATAAGCTTTTTCCTTAGCCAGGACTTTGACATCTTGGAAAAGGATCTTGTGGCCAGTCTCAATCTGGTGTTCGGCTACAGCTGACTGTACGTAACCCAATCTGGAGCATCTTTCGTGTTCCTTTAGGCGAGTATTGACACTCCTCCCAGTTTCACCGATGTACACCTTACCGCATGAGCAGGGTATTCTGTATACACCTGGGCAGGTAAGGGGTGGCCACGGGTCTTTGGCAGAGGTCAAGATTTGACTCACCTTTTGAGCCAATAGTTTTTAATTGGGCAGCACTCCTTAACCTCCGTAAAAACAAAAACCTTCTTGTCATGCCGGCAGACAAAGGCAACGCCACAGTCGTCATGTACAGGAAGGATTACAATAGCAAAATCCAGGACCTCCTGCACACCTCAACGTACACCAAAATAAACAAGGACCCTACACCTGGAATTTCCAGAATAACTAACCAGTTTATCAAACAAGCTAACCTCTCGCTAGAAATTTCCAAATCCATTACCTCGACAGAACCACAACCACCTAAACTTTATGGACTACCAAAAATCCACAAAGACAATATTCCTTTACGTCCTATAGTCAGCGCCATCAATTCACCTACACACAATCTAGCCAAATACCTCTGTCGTGTTCTGCAACCGCTTACAGGCAATACTTCATCACGCATCAAAAATTCCACCGACTTCGTCAAGAAGATCAATAATATCAGAGTTCTTCCTCAAGACATCCTTGTCAGCTTCGACGTTGAGTCACTATTCACCAGCATCCAAAATTCCAGAAACTTTAGACATCATCCGTAATACCAACTTAATCCCTTCGAACTTAATCCCACTCATAGAGCACTGCCTCACCTCCACGTACTTCACTTACCAAGGTGAATTCTACAGACAGGAAACAGGCGCAGCAATGGGTTCACCCATCTCACCAGTGGTGGCGGACATTTTCATGGTACACCTAGAAAAAACCATTCTAGAGAATGCTCCAGCCAAACCCACGGCCTGGTTCCGATATGTGGATGACACTTTTGTAATATGGAGACATGGTAGAGAGGCACTAAACAGTTTCCATAACTTCATTAATTCGATACACCCATCTATCAAGTTCACAGTCGAAATAGAGAAGAACCAGCAAATCCCTTTCCTGGATGTCCTGGTAAACAGAAAACACGACGGCACTCTTGGACATAAAGCATACCGAAAACCTACTCACACAGACAGATATCTACAAGCTTCTTCACACCATCATCCATCCCAAAAGGTATCGGTCATTTCTTCCTTAATCACCAGAGCAGTCTCAATTTCAGAACCATCCTCCCTTCAACAAGAACTCACCAACGTAAAAACAGCTCTAATCAAGAACGGCTACACTACACCTCAGATCAACCGCACGATGCGCAAAATAATCAATACACCAGTTAACACAAATACACAATCCCCACCTTCACAAAACACCCTAACATCTATTGCGTTTTTACCCTATCTACAGGGAATAACAGACAGGATTTCGCGGGTTCTCAAAAAATATAATATTAAAACGATATTCCAACCGGCTCAAAAGGTGAGTCAAATCTTGACCTCTGCCAAAGACCCGTGTCCACCCCTTACCTGCCCAAGGTGTATACAGAATACCCTGCTCATGCGGTAACGTGTACATCGGTGAAACTGGGAGGAGTGTCAATACTCGCCTAAAGGAACACGAAAGATGCTCCAGATTGGGTTACGTACAGTCAGCTGTAGCCGAACACCAGATTGAGACTGGCCACAAGATCCTTTTCCAAGATGTCAAAGTCCTGGCTAAGGAAAAAGCTTATTTCCCCAGGGAATACCGTGAAGCGGTAGAAATCCGAAAAAACCCCGAACAACATCAATCGGGATAAAGGTCTATGTCTCAATCCAATCTGGAACAGCCTCCTCCCAGTTTTTTAATTGGCCAGCTGCCCAATTAAAAACTATTGGATGGTGCACTGATCCGCAACGATGGACACATGTATAAGTTAGGGCCCCCTCTGATACTTTCTTCAGTATCAGAGATTATTTGATTCCCTGATGAAGCTAGCTGCAATGCTGGCGAAACGTCGGACTCTCTCGTCTTCTGAACGCGGCTCCAACCCGGAAGCCAATTCTACTAGTAATCACTATGGCCGCGAAAGCCTAAAAAGTATAAATGTGATAGAGTTTATCATGAAAAAATGTTAGCAATATGTATTATAAAAAGTATAGATATTTTTCATCATTTAATGTTATCAAGAGAAACTTTACAGTAGGAATTGACAACACCAGTATACAGTTGCCTTAGAAAGTACGTCGACGCATTAAAAATATCAGTTTTTATTATGTCAAAATAAAATAAAATATACTAATTGACATTTTTTATATAATTAATGTGGAAGTGTATTGTGAAATATAGAAGCAAAAAAAGATACATTACCAATATTTTTTATACGTTGTACTATTTCTCTAACACCTACGCTAATATTATAATCGATAGCAATTTTGACACTTCCATATTTTTAATTTATACCAATTATCAACTTACTTTCCGTGTCATGATATTGAGAATTAAATTTTCTCTCATAAGTCACTCAAACTGACTGATTCCTTCGCTTATTTACAACAAAGTAACAGTATAAGATCGTTACACAAAAACAGTGACGTTGACCATTCAAGAATAGTGTTTATATTGTTTCTATCACAAGAAACGTATGTTAAACGTATTATACTTTCCGAGGGGACTGTAGATCTAAAAAAAATATAAAATTTGAAGCAGAATCTATAGGCATAAGATTTCGTTGATTTTGAGCATGATTTTTCAACTTTTTCAAGATTTTGTAATCTTCGAAGTATCATCCGAATGAGCGAATGAGTTCTATGTAACTATACGTATAAAATTGATACCGTACATATAAAAATCTGTGATATATTTACACATCATTCTAAATATGATTTAAATTATTGTTTTAAAATATTTCTTTCATCCACTGTATGAATATTATCATATTTAGTCTTTTTCCCCATTTCCATGTATTATTTATTGCAAGGAAAACTTTTTAAGTTCTTTTTTAATCGAAACGATTAATGGTACTGCGGGATCTTCCGGTGGAAGTTGACACTCTAAAAGTATGCGTCTTGTATTTATGTATGGTAGATTGGGTCTATGAAATGGGCCAGCACTGAACGGTCTTGTTCCCCAACTACTATGAGATTGAGTAGGTACTGAATGTCTATTTTCTCCGATGCTTCCTTCAAAGTCTTTTTGTGGCGATGACGTAGCAAGTCTTGACTTCGTTTCCATCATTGGCGAAGACACAGAACTGAAAACATAAATAGGGAACAAATGTTATTGTTAAAAATGTGTAGTAAAAGTTATGTTTGTTTCGTGTGGTTGGTTACATTGCTGTATGTCCCCTTTCTTATGTTTTTTGGGTTTCGAGCTTTGAGTGGGTGTGTAAAATGTGCTTCGAGTTATCACAGTTTTTTGTTTGTTACCTTTCCTTTATTTTTCTAAATTAATAAACAAATATTGAACAAATTGATTTTCTTTAATTCTAACAGTTATTATCAAATATTATATGCAATATTAACAGAAAAATAAATATGCATTAAAGAATTTATTTACAGTTGAAAAAGAATATTACACATATTCTAACACGAAAATAACTAGATTCCATCTTACACTTGCAAATGTAACGTCAAAGACAAAATATTTACTCAACTCTTTGTGGTCTAATGTGGCCATAGAAACGGGGCATCCCACTTCTAATTTCGTTACAGTAACTGTCACTTAAGGGGGGAGTCCCATGTAAATGATAAAAAATTGAACCATTTTTCTTAATTTTTTTTAAGGAAATGTTACATCTGACGTTATGAATCATTTTTGCAGTTCACTTAGCTATACTTTGGGAATACAAGATAATTTTTTTATCAATTTTTATTAACTTTTAATGTTGTTATCACATCCGCAGTAATCGTGTGTTTAAACACTGGCGTAGATGATTGTAGCTTTCAAGATCGACTAAATCAAAAAAATTTTTATTCTGTAGGTTTACAGCTATCGCCCATACCAAAATAATTAATTTATGTTGCAAATTGATAAAATGGTGGAAGCTTAAAGTAAAACTTGCAAAATTTCGTTTCTTTTACAACTTTTTAATAAAAATGATATGATAAACTCATTATAACAATTTGATTTTGGTACGGGAGAGAACTGTTAGTACGTGGAACAACGTGTAACAATTTGAAAGCAATCGAACGTATGGTTTTTGAGATTTTATCTACACCGGTTAAGAAAGTAACGTTTCGAGAGAAACGCATTTAAAGTCTGCAAGATCATACTCATCAATCTCAGCTCCATATAGAATTCTTTCCAAAATATTGGCATCTAGATGACAGAAACGCTAAAATTTCAACTTCTAATAACAACAGACCTCTCTTGACCCTGTCGTAAACCTTTTGTAACAGTAATGTCTGGGCTGTACATGGTAAACACCCGAAGCAATGACTCCTATACAAAAAATGTTCTACAATCCACAATACTTGACATTTATCTCTCAAAATTTAACAGTACATTCTTAAATATTTATCGGGTATCTTTTATATGCATTATTTAAAATTAAAATTGTAACACCTATACGGTTGTTCAATAAGGGCGATGGAACATTCAATTATCATAAACGTCATATTTCTTATTCGCTTGTTCGAGCCATGTGCCATTTATATTCAGTAGTGCTTCACAAGTCATCATAGGGAGATACACAGTTGTCCAATCCAATTTATGTGCAAAAGGGTTGAAAGTGTTTTGTTGAAGAAAGAACGGGTTACTAGGGACAGCGAGACAACAGGGAGTAGGAAACGAATGATTGTGAAAGACGGATGTAATTATAATTTGTGTTGTCAATTAATGTGATTTCAATTTGTGTTGCTAATTATTAATTTGTGTGTTCCAAATTCGTTTGTTATAATTATATGATTTCTACGTTTGTTCCTCAAATAAATCCTCTTCGTTAAATCCTACGCATGTATTTTTTTTCGAAAGAGGGGATGATTATGCCTTCAATTTTGAATCGTTGAAGGTATCTGTTCAATTATCATAACTGTATATTTTTGTTTGTTCTGTTTCAGGTACTGGTTGCTAACAGTTCTTCGCTCTGGAGAAACTATGCCGCCTAAAATTGAATTGAGATTAGCTCGCTTATATCGAACTGCATTCTCAAGGCATCAGAAACGCCATCTTGGTCTTTTACAGACGGATTCACAATTTCAAAGAGCTACGGACAAACGACTGCTCATCAAAACCAAGGTGAACTTACTAAAAGAATATGTACGACTTTTCAATAAGAGCGATGAAACTTTCAATTGTTGTTTCAATTGTTTGTTCGAGTTACGTGATATTTATAATCAGTAGGTGCTTCACAAGTCATCGTGGAGAGTTACACAGTTGTCACAGTTGTACAAATTACCAAAACTTTTATTCAATTCAAGCAACGTTTCGTGCGCTTGGTTCGACTTATGGGTCAATAAAATCGACCAACAGAACTCACAATTCGTCGTTTTGTGGACAGATTTGAAGCCACTAGTTCAGTCGATCAATGCATTCCCACACGTCACGTAGTATAAGAAACAAAAATAATGTTGCTACTGATAGGGAAAGTGTTGCTGGGAATCCAAAATTGATTTTGCAACATTCTCAAGAATTATGCATCATTCGAAATTTTTTGTGGCGAATTTTGTGTAAAAGACTGTGAACAATAATTGTAGTTCGGCCTCAGTTTTCGAGATATTTACAAAACCTGTTGGTACTTTCACTTCGCCTGTATGTATGCCATAGGCGTGTTGTGTCTGCAAATGCGACCCGGAACGAGTGTTAGAATCTCCCATTAAAAAAATTTTAAAAACATGAAAATTGTTCTAAATTATTGAAACTTGTATAAAGGTATATAGTATAATGTTTCTTTACTTGATACATAACAACAATACAAAAAAATCTTTAGTAGTACTCAGTAAATTAAATAAAATTTGAAGTTGCGTATGAAACTTAGCTGTCAGTAAAAATCGTACACTGTTGGTAACATTGGATATCCGGTGAATCCTGTAGCAGTGTGAATCAGTGATGGACATTCGTGGGAATTTTGGACATGCGCACTAGAATTTTCCCTCGTGGGATTCCTTTTTGCGCGTGCGTCAGCTTTCTCTCAAAGATGTATCTTTAGCGCAAAAAGAGGTGCATGTTGGGAATTCCCATGTTTTGTACAAAATTGAATTTTCAATGAATGGATCGAAGGATTTCAATGTTTCAAAAGGCAAACAACGCGTATTTTGGCGGAGAATATGCAGAAATTCTAACAATATTGAAAAAGTTGTTCCTTGACCCAGTAAAAAGTGAGAGAAACCTCATAAAAATGGTCCAATTTTCAAGGAGCCATAACTCCCACAATAGTGAATATATTTCAATGAAACTTTTTTCTGATGTAAAGCGCATGGGTACCTACAAAAAAGTATTAGACAACTTTTCTATAGGGTGTCAAACAAAATTACTAAAAATCAAAAACGATTAAGGAAAATCGAGAGGGCTTTAGGTTAGGTAGGTGCCCAAATTTCTCAGCGAAAAAAAAATTTTGGAATCATTCTAAAAAAATTATTTCTAGGTTCGGAGGTCAAATACAACCATTTTTGGTGAATAGACGTAACGAAACCTTCATCAACAAATTGGTATTCTTGAGTTTCGTCTTATTTTTACCTCTAGAATCTCCCATTAAAATTTTTTCCAAGGATGGTCGAATACCCTGTATGTTTGGAGAGGTAGTTTCAATTAGAAGACTCGGAACTAAACGTGTATTTATTAATAACACAAAAGAGCCAAAATGTCGTAGACGCGATGAGAAAGATAAACATGTGTAGGCACTGGCCTACGTATATGGACACAGGGTTGTACACAATAACTACACGTGGCATAGCGGACGAGTGCTTTATTGGACCGTCTCTCAGGCTTGCTCGGGGAAGACCTCTCGATTGTCTCGTGTCTCTCGAGGCCCAGGGAGTACCTAGGGACAAATTCCCTATAGCATCCCGGCCTCTCTCAACGGTTGGCATCGGCGCCAATCGCGCCATCTGCGGGAGTAACTAGGGAGTTACTTCATGCTCCCTACACATGTAATGACGTTACTAGAAGAACCGACAGTGGACAGTCGCGAAACAAGATAGTCCTGTTGTAGCAACGGCAGGAACGCATGACCAATGCGAGTCACCCTGATATTAAATCTTACACTGTATAATTAGTAATACCTAATATGGGAAGGTCTTCCTTTGGTCTTTGAAAAAACCGTGAGGACGTCCGCCGCGCATGTGGCTGAATTTGGTCGCTGCGTGCAAGGTTGGACCTCCAATTTCTGATCTCTGCTTCCAAACAGGCTGAAGGAATCTTCCAAGAGCTCGTTTAGTCTTCGTTTAGCTCGGCCAACAGAGCTCGCTGATGCCATGCAAGTTAATTCATCGGTTTCTGATGTACCAATATCTGAAAGAGTAGAATTGACCAGATTCAGAAAAAAAACGATGCGAAATGAACAATATCAGGGACATGTAAGAATGTGAAAATGTTTGATCGAGTTTGGTCGAGAATTTTTTTCTGGTCAAGATACCCGAGAATTAACTAACTAAATTATTATTAACAAACGATTAAATAATAAAATGAACAACTTCTAATACATACTTCACGCGAAACACACACACATGGTCGGCAATGCCTTCAATCGAAACTCTCACATAATATAACCGCATTCATTCATTACAAACCTAAAGGTTGCTTACACATATAACCGTCGCTATATATATGTATAGGAAAAACTTGTTCAAACTGTTGATTACTATAATATACTCAAAAATCATAGAAATCGGGGAGATTCCACCTTTTCTAAATAATATTACCCTAGTTTATTTTATCATTAAATATTTCATGTAAAAGAAAAAGATCAAAAATTGTACCTTCCGTAGACATTATTTGTCTTCGAAGATTCCAAACTACAGGACCAACGACTCCAGGATCTTTGATCGTACTTGAAGTTCTCAAAAAAATTTTGTCGTTGATTTCATTCCTGTACGTATCAATGTCATTATTGTCTCGTCTGACTAATTCTGGCGAATCTATATCTAAATGTTTCACCTGCGAAAGATACATTTGCTTAAAAATATAAGTAAATATTAATATCGTATAGCTGAAACATAATGGACACACTGACAGATTGCGGAGACTGGAGTTAGGCTATAGCATTCTTCTTATTAAATGCGAATGGTTCTGAAAATAATAGTTTCAAACAATTATACAGAGTGTTCGGTCACCACGGGGAAAAATTTCAATGGGAAATTCTGGAGGCAAAAATAAGACGAAAGTCAAAAATACCAATTTGTTGGTTGAGTTTCCAACCAGGTTGGTTTCGTTAAAAAATTATTAACGTTTAAAGTTCTGCCTGTTGGCTGGATGGTTGCGACAGGCCTAGTGGTTCTCAATCGGCATGAAAAATTCTACTTACGAATGTCATCACTAGACTGCGGATGTTTATGCATTTATGGGAAATTTTAATCCTCAAAAAACTACAGAATGCATTTAATATGCAAAAATATAAGAAATACTTAAAGTAAGATACGAATTATTATATTTAGGGGTTGAGACAGCCCTCTGCGAAGCTTCCGTTTCATTAATTCTATTAATAAAAATGTGAATTTGCATAAAGATCCGCAGTCTAGTCATCACTCATAGGAACGTGGACACCTTACGTTGAATGAGATTCAATCTGTCTTATGAAAATTGTGGCCATAATTATGAAAGTGGTCTAAGTCAAAATTAAAAAAAAAAATGAGTTTATCAGTTATTTCACACCACATTATTTTAAACTAAATTAATTCAATGTAATGTTTACGATATTGTCAAAAATGATAGTGGTTGTAATTTCAACATTATATGGAATTCTTTAGTGTTAATTATGAAAGTGGTATAAGTAAAAAATTTAAAGAAATTATATAAACATAACCTTAAAATGGCACGTGGCCCTCTTTGGCGCGTTTTTGAACTACACAATAAGCCGACAAATGACAATCAAACAATAACAGAAACGACAATACTTTCCGATCTACCTAACAATATATAAAATTCATTTAGTTCTATTTTGAAAGTGTCATTAATTCAGGTGGGCTCTTGTGAACTTATTATTGACGGAAAAATAATTTACGTACTACAGTTCATCAACGATTAATAAAACAAAGGCGGCCCAGAACTTTTGAAAGACCTTTGAGAAAATGCAGCTACAAATATTTTCTGTCAAGAAATAATAATTCAGAAGTGTCGGTTCTTGATTTTCGTCTTATTTTGGCCTCTAGAATCACCCATTAACACTTTACCGACCGATAAAACAGTTGATTAATCGGCTATCGGTCGGTAAACGCCGATCGATAAAACAGTTGATTAATAGGCTATCAGTCGGTAAAGCGTTAGCCGGTAAAACAGTCGATCAATAGGCTATCGGTCGGTAAAGTGTTAAAATTTTTCCCAGGAGTGGCCAAACACCCTGTATATCCTAATTAAAAGAAACACTACATTTTAATGTAACCGTCAACTTGACGTGTTTTAATAAAAATGTGCACCATAAGTGTCCATAAATCTAGCGTTAAAACGATTTTCACCGTATAAAGTAGGTTACTACATACCATAACTGGTTCCAAAACTCTAGACAGAGGTTCGACGCCTTTCAACTTTGGAAATTGTTTACAAGATGGCATAGAAAGATAAGAATGCGGCGAAGCAGTAGCTTCTTCTATATCCCCTTCTTGTTTTGTGTAATTGTTCTCCAAAGATTCCAGCATTTCTAAATTATCATCTACCATATCCACCGAGTCCGATGCTCTAGATACATTGATTGCATTTGTCCTTGACATTCTTTCGTGTGTTAATCTACAATTAAAAATTGTCTGGTAGCTTAAGGGGGTCTTCTACTGTGAAGGCTGTTTTGTTCAGCTTTCTTTCGGAATTTTTTTTGAGGAATAATGGAAACACGCACAGTTATAACTTTTATATCGAGTGTATTAATTATTGAACTTTGTTTACAAATTTTTGTAAAGCATAATAATAACAATAATTAGCTTTATAGCACTGGAATGATGACCATGTATAAAAAATGTTGACGGATGGCGCCCATGATTGACGATTGTTTATTCATCTGAAATTGAAAAATCGAATAGCATTTTAATATGTAGATCTACGGCTATCGTGTGAACTAGAATTAAATAAAAATATTCAAATTTGAATATTTGACAAAGCTTTTAAGAAAAAAGTCAATTCTTCGTATTTTTTTTTCAACCTTTTAAGCTAAAGAACAAGAAATTAGTAAAATATTTCAATTATCCTAGTTCACACGAAAACTAGAGGTGTATGAAAGATGTGTACGAAATTATAGCGAAATCGGTTGAAGACTTTTTGAGATATCGTGGGCGCCGCTTCAAGAAAATGCGTTTCGAGAAAAACGCGTTTGAAGTTCAAGTACGTATGACACAAAGATAATTTTACTTACCGTTAATCTGCAATGCTTGGACCATACAGTACACCTTCAGTTTCTTCCTGGAAGTCATGCAGAAGTGAATTTTCTTCTCGATTTTGAATCCGAGATTTTTTGGCGAAGTCAGACGATTTTCGTTCGAAGCGGTACAGGCGAGCGTTGTCACGGTGCGTAGAATATGTGCAGGAATTGGTGCCAATTTTCAATCCCATTGTTTCCATAATTTTTAATACCCCTTCAAATCCGTCGTTAAAAATAATAACTGCCAAAAAAGTAGCTATTTCAACCACCTTAGGCCCAGAATGAATGTGTTTTGGGGCGAATGTCCAAATTAGGGAATTCAATGACTCGTTATTATTTTGGGTCTCAGCTCCCAAGCATCTGATTAATAAATCATGTTTTGATAAATCTTCGTAAACCGGCTTAATTGTTTCTAAAACTTGTCTTTTTAAAGAAACTCTATAGTGGTTAAAATTCTTGAGGAGTCCTAAAGCTTCTGCTTTACGCCACCTGCACCAGCTGATTTCACCCTTCGGACAATAATCGTGCTGCGGATTATCATCAGAAGAACTGCAGTGATAAACGAAGCCCAAATCTCTCTCTTCGTATCATCTATTGAATCAGGATGCCGTCGTATGGCTAAGCCATAGAATTTCGTAAATTCACCAATGACTTTTTCAGTTAGTTTACCGTGTCCTTTTCCACCGATTCCCTTGTGATTTTTTTTAATGTTGCGAAGTCTCGTGCCCATCCTCTTTTCCACATGACCTACGCACTCCTTTTTCACAACTTGTTTTTCATCTGTATACGGATTAGCATTCAAAATACCTTTGAATGTTTTGCTATCTCTGTCTCCAACGTATGTTAGGTACTTTACGCCATGTTTCTCCATAGAACGTAAAAACATTTCAATAATAGCGTCAATTTCCATTTTACCAGAGCTGCCAATATGATTTATGGAACAATCCTTGTGGTTCGATAACCATTCTTCGTGGAATTGGAGTTTTGGAGTTTTCAGTTTCTCGAAATATCAACAATTGTCGCGTACTGCACCGACTAAGCGAACGTTCTTAGAAAGTTCGTGATTGTTCGCATATGTAATTGTCAATTGTCACAATTGCGTCTGATATGAAAAAAGACTCGGTCGTTCATAAGCAGAGATCATAATAAACACTAGTACATGCCCGAAGAATGACATAATATTGAGGAGGAAAGCGCGACAGCACCCGCCACCAGCGCGCTCCGAACACCTATTTCGTTCTACGCCTACAACTTCTGAACGGCATCGAATCTCAGAAAATCCATTTAGCCTCGTATTCTACATGAGTTATAGATGTAATTCATGTAAAAAAAAAAAAATGAATTTTTTCGACCCGACACTGTAGAAGACCCCCTTAATGAACTATTCAACACGCTGACCGACCAACACATATCGAATATACAGGGTGCTCGGCCACGTCGATACGTCAGTAAGTAGAATTTTTCATGTTGCGTGAGAACCACTAGGATCCACCTGACGCAAACTTCCGCGCATGCGCAGCTGTTCGCAGGTTGACGTTCCACAGACGGAACTTTAAACGCGAATAACTTTTTAACAAAGCCTCCATCAACAAATTGGTATTCTTGATTTTCGTCTTATTTTGGCCTCTAGAATCTTCCATTAAAATTTTTCCCAGGGGTGGCCGAACACCCAGTATATTGTTGAATTATTTGTTAATTTCATTTGTATGTAGTTTTAAGGCTTGTTCCTTGTCACATTATATCAAATGCTTCAGTTTCAAATATACAGAATGTCCCACCAGCCTTAGTACACCCGTAAAGTAAGTAATTTTTCATGTAAAAGCAAATTAAAAATGTGGAATAAAAATTCATTGTAACACGTTCCATTATCGAGAAAAAGAAGGCACAGCTCTATACGTTGTAACATGATAATATTTTAGACAATGGCATTAATCAAATTATCTTCAGAAAGTGTCACGTCTTGATTTAAGATACCATTTTTAATCAATCACAATCTAAAATTGATTGTATTGGGACTTACAACATAACCTTATCCATCAAATATGCATGTACACGTTTAATTGTAAATATTCATACGACGAATTTAATGTTTCTGCATATGAATGTAAGACAGTTACCTTGTAAAGTTAATTCTATTAAAAAATTGATAGAAATGGTATAATGTTGTTCCGTACGGAACTGTACTAGAGATTTGCAATCGGTGAGATTAACATGTATTCTCATATTTTAAACAATTAAATATATTTTTATAGGTTAATGTTTCTCTTATACCTTCTCTTCTTTAAAGAGCGCTCCCAAAGACGCGATGTTCTTGTCTTTTCCATTTGTTCTTCGTCATCTTTGTCGCTCAGAGCCTTGTGAATTTCTTCGTCAAGGCTGTTGAGAATTTCTGGATTAACCGGAGTCCTCGGCATGCTTTCAGAAGTCTGTTTCTCGCTATCGTCAGTCTGTAAAAGAAAATGGGAATTGTGAAAGAGAAATTAGTTGTCGTTGAGTATGAATACGGTGTTTATCAAACTTGGCTACCAAATATGGTACTGTCATGCCGTAGGACCCCATAGAAATAAGTATTACTCATAGCGATAAGGTTAGTCATAACCGATACACTATGTGGATGACGAACATATGTCTAGACCTAACCTGACTGTACTTAACCCAAAAATTATGAAAGCGTACCACTTCTGGGTCTCCGAGCTCATTTTCAGTCTCCGAATAAACCTTAGAGTATATTCTGATATCTTTGTCCGAGTGCTTGAACCTTTTCCAATCAAAATCATCCTAATATTGTGACGCTGCAACTATTTAGACGAGTCTGCAGCTTACGGCATAACAGTACGATTAAATCAACCACATTAAGCCATAATAAACAAAAGGCTAACTAGCACTATATGAAAACCAATATACAAAGACAAAAACTCATTGCAATATTGTCTGTCATAACATACAGACTCATCTATAAACTTTTACGTACTCCTTGTTAGAATTAAAGAAAATAAACTCAACTTATATAATATTTGTTCATTAATTTGACACGAAAGAAAATATGTCGACAATTTAGAAAAGAAAGAAAAAAACTTAAAGACTGCAATAATTGGACGCACGTGTTGCCCTCCTCAATGCAGCCAACACACAAAAACAAAAGTAACTTTTACCAACCAAACGTTAAACCAGACATCCAAGGATTATAGAAACATATTTTAACACTCCTAATAAATTCGACTATATCGTTTACACAAAAAATGATTTATTTAATCATTGACATAATTTCCATTAGTCTCTTTTCGATTAAAAATTGTTGTGGTTTTGGCAAGAAATATTCCTGAAGGGTCGTTTTAAATTTCATCGGGTAATTAATTAATTAAGAAAAACATGCGTACCTTAATTTCCATTTCTGATGTTGAGAAAGCAGTATTATCCGGACCGGTTAATGCTGATACGTAATATTGTTTCTTTTTTACAATATTACGATGCGGTGGTGGTGTTACCGTACTGTGTGACCTCTTTTTTCTCGCTGTGAAAATTAATCCCGCAAGCACGAAAGCTAAAAGAACAAAGCCAGCGCTTGCTGCCCCAACCAGCAGCCATGCATCTCTTTTTCTCGAAAGTGCCAGTGGTCGAGATTCTTTTAAGTACGCTATATGTGTAAAAATGTATTCAATGAACGTCTTGTAAGAAAACTGATCGAAAGCGGTTTTGCTCAGATTGCAAAATGGTACAGAACATTTCGATTTACTTTGTCACGAAGATTCTGTATGTTTCAATCGTTCCTCCTATCGTATACTGGCGAATAGTAAAAATTGCAGATATTTAAGGAACTTACGTTCACTTTGAACAAGAACAGGCGCACCAAGTTCTAGCGCAACTTCCTGAGGCGATAAAAGAGCCATATCTCTGGCAGCTATTTCAGCAGGTACGGGTTTTCCACCTAGGTGAACGGAGTAAATCAATCTTGTGGCACCACTTTCCGTCACGCTTGTGTTTTGCATTCTAACTTGAACAGTTTCCTCCGCAGTGTAATTATGTAAACGTAATTCGAATCGTTTACTTCCTCTTTCATCTTCGATGTTATTCGATAACTGTTTTCTTGACAGAGGATGATTGTCTGAGGAAATCTGAAAGTTACATATCACAGAAAAAAAATGTGCATTACCTTCTAAACATTATTATTAACGTATAACGGAGAAACGTATAAATATTAGCGAAAGACTACTGTGTTCTTTTCTGTGGTCTGATAGTAATATAAAATGTAATTTATTCAGGTCTAATAAACCATACAGCAAAATTACAAAGGTAGCGAAGAAGAGACGTTTTATAAAACTGTTTCGATAGCAATACACAAGCACAGGAATTCCCCGTGACCGACTGGCGAGCTTTATTTGGGGGGTTCCCCTACGGTCGATCACTACTCCAACGTAAAGCGCCATCGTGCGGCCATAAGCGGTACCATATTTTCGCTTCTTATACTACGTGACGTGTGGGGATACATTGATCAACGATCGAACTAGTGGCTTCAAATCTGTCCACAAAACGACGAATTGCGAGTTCTGTTGTGCAAAAAATGTGCATTACCTTCTAAACATTATTATTATTCTCGCTTGGCCTCAATTTTCGAGATATTTGCAAAAACTTATTTAAAAATTAGTACAGTGGTGCCCACATAAGTGACCGCATTTTTGCCCACATAAGTGTCCGCGGTTATCCCCACCAATTCTTAGAAGCCAAGCAGCTTGGAACATCGAGCGTGTTGGGTGCCAGCTATTGTATCTCATTCGCACTTATCCTCTTTCTTTATCTCCGTTGAATTCTAAGAACTAACCATGCCCACATAAATGACCGAGGCCGGTCCCGAGCAGTGATGGACATTCGTGGGAATTTTGGACATGCGCACTAGAATTTTCCCTCGTGGGATACCTTTTTGCGCATGCGTTAGCTTTCTGCCATAGATGTAAACAAAAAATTTCCTTTTAATCTACATGAGTATAGCTAGAGAAATACGTAGGGGATCTTCGATAAGTTAATTTTTGTGTGATTGGCGAGCACTTGAAGTAGAAAGTTCAATTTTGTACAAAACATGGGCACCTCTGTTTGCGTTAAAGATACATCTATGGCAGAAAGCTGACGCATGCGCAAAAAGGAATCCCGCGAGGGAAAATTCTAGTGCGCATGTCCAAAATTCCCACGAATGTCCATCTCTGATTCACACTGCTACAGGATTCACCGTATTTCCAATGTTACCAACAGTGTACGATTTTTACTGACAGCTAAGTTTCATACGCAACTTCAAATTTTATTTAATTTACTGAGTACTACTAAAGATTTTTTTGTATTGTTGTTATGTATCAACTAAAGAAACATTATACTATATACCTTTATACAAGTTTCAATAATTTAGAACAATTTTCATGTTTTTAAAATTTTTTTAATGGAAGATTTTAACACTCGTTCCGGGTCGCATTTGCAGACGCAACGCGCCTATGGCATACATACAGGCGAAGTGAAAGTACCAACAGGTTTTGTAAATATCTCGAAAACTGAGGCCGAACTACAATTATTGTTCAACAGTCTTTTACACAAAATTCGCCACAAAAAATTTCGAATGATGCGTAATTCTTGAGAATGTTGCAAAATCAATTTTGGATTCCCAGCAACACTTTTCCTATCAGTAGCAACATTATTTTTGTTTCTTATACTACGTGACGCGTGGGAATGCATTGATCGACTGAACTAGTGGCTTCAAATCTGTCCACAAAACGACGAATTGCGAGTTCTGTTGGTCGATTTTATTGACCCATATGTCGAACCAAGTGCACGAAACGTTGTTTGAATTGAATAAACGTTTTGGTAATTTGTACAACTGTGACAACTGTGTATCTCTCCACGATGACTCGTGAAGCACCTACTGATTATAAATGTCACGTAACTCGAACAAACAATTGAAACAACAATTGAAAGTTTCATCGCTCTTATTGAAAAATCGTACATATTCTTTTAGTAAGTTCACCTTGGTTTTGATGAACAGTCGTTTGTCCGTAGCTCTTTGAAATTGTGAATCCGTCTGTAAAAGACCAAGATGGCGTTTCTGATGCCTTGAGAATGCAGTTCGATATAAGCGAGCTAATCTCAATTCAATTTTAGGAGGCATAGTTTCTCCAGAGCGAAGAACTGTTAGCAACCAGTACCTGAAACAGAACAAACAAAAATATACAGTTATAATAATTGAACAGATACCTTCAACGATTCAAAATTGAAGGCATAATCATCCCCTCTTTCGCAAAAAAATACATGCGTAGGATTTAACGAAGAGGTTTTATTTGAGGAACAAACGTACAAATCATATAATTATATCAAACGAATTTGGAACACACAAATTAATAATTAGCAACACAAATTGAAATCACATTAATTGACAACACAAATTATAATCACATCCGTCTTTCACAATCACTCGTTTCCTACTCCCTGTTGTCTCGCTGTCTCTAATAACCTGTTCTTTCTTCAACAAAACACTTCCAACCCTTTCACACATAAATTAACATTGAACGAAACTACAGCGTGGCACAAATATTCAATACAAATCTCCTACACATGTATATATGTATGTCAGAGAAATCATTTCATTGGTAATTTCTCTAGGGCGACCTCTGTCTCGTTATTCTATGCATTTCTTTTTCTCCTTAAATCTTTGAACTAAATAAACTAATAATTGTTAACTATCACACAAACACTTTAACAACACGAAAGAATGTATAATGTTAACCGATGAGTCCTTTGCAGGAATTCTGTTTCTTATTTTTCTGCACTTTTAATTCCATTCTTTTCTTTTTCGAATACTTCTTTTTTTAAAATGTTCCAGTAACCAGACAAACAACTCTACTTTCAAAGATCACATCCAAACGTCAACGCCAACCAGACACATGCTTGCGTTACCAATGACATTCTTCACATCGATTGAATTTAAATATCAATTAGAACTAGTATAACTTTATTAACACAACGTGAAGTAACATTCAATTTGACAACAAAAAAACTTTTTAATGGATTCCGATATGTATATTATACGCTGCTAGTAGTAAGTGTAACTAGGTAGCAGTGCTAGTAGTAAATATATTTTAACGTTATCAAATAGTTTTTTCTCATTTATGCTAGTAACATTATATAAAGTTATTAGTAATATCTGCGAACATTATGCTGCGATGTACTAAAAATAGTAAAGACAAGATAAATAAAAACCTTGGTCCAGGATCTTCCCCGATAAGAACACCAATATTTTCATCCTCGCTGTCATTCAGCGTGGGTGTTGGTTCGATACAACTAGTACATTTTGGAGTATGGGATTCAGAATGATGAGGAAACTTGGGATCATTATCGTCCTTTTCTTCTACAGGCAAATAGAGCGTGACTGTGTGATGAATCGTTCTACTTTCGTGAAAGGCTTGGTTCAAATCTACCCATGACGGGGCGTCTTCCGAATCGGTCCAAAAGAAATCTTGAAGATGAACTCGACGCCCTGGCAGATGCTCGATCACGATGATTTCGTCCTCTGAAATCAGAGACATTAATTTTTCTTTATTAATGTACAAATTCTCGGGTCAGGTTAATAGTTTATAAGGTCATTAGGTTAATAGTTTATAAGATAATATGTAATATTTTATCTAGTAATAATTTCTATTAATTCTAAATTAAAATTTCATGGATGCATCAGCGAATAAGCTTGTAGTAAGATAAGTCTAATTACTTCGAATAAAAGACATTGTTCCTCCGCTTAGTGGCAACGGCGTCATCCCGCACCACTGTTTCGGTTCAGTCAGGGCAAACGAACCATTTAATACGATGTCGGACGCCGCAGACAAAACTAATCCTTTATCGGCTATCTTTTATATGCATTATTTAAAATTAAAATTGTAACACCTATACGGTTGTTCAATAAGGGCGATGGAACTTTCAATTATCATAACCGTCATATTTCTTATTCGCTTGTTCGAGCCCTGTGCCATTTATGTTCAGTAGTGCTTCACAAGTCATCATAGGGAGATACACAGTTGTCCAATCCAATTTATGTGCAAAAGGGTTGAAAGTGTTTTGTTGGAGAAAGAACGGGTTACTAGGGACAGAGAGACAACAGGTAGTAGGAAACGAATGATTGTGAAAGACGGATGTAATTATAATTTGTGTTGTCAATTAATGTGATTTCAATTTGTGTTGCTAATTATTAATTTGTGTGTTCCAAATTCGTTTGTTATAATTATATGATTTGTACGTTTGTTCCTCAAATAAATCCTCTTCGTTAAATCCTACGCATGTATTTTTTTTCGAAAGAGGGGATGGTTATGCCTTCAATTTTCAATTGTTGAAGGTATCTGTTCAATTATTATAACTGTATATTTTTGTTTGTTCTGTTTTAGGTACTGGTTGCTAACAGTTCTTCGCTCTGGAGAAACTATGCCTCCTAAAATTGAATTGAGATTAGCTCGCTTATATCTAACTGCATTCTCAAGGCATCAGAAACGTCATCTTGGTCTTTTACAGACGGATTCACAATTTCAAAGAGCTACGGACAAACGACTGCTCATCAAAACCAAGGTGAACTTACTAAAAGAATATGTACGACTTTTCAATAAGAGCGATGAAACTTTCAATTGTTGTTTCAATTGTTTGTTCGAGTTACGTGACATTTATAATCAGTAGGTGCTTCACAAGTCATCGTGGAGAGATACACAGTTGTCACAGTTATACAAATTACCAAAACTTTTATTCAATTCAAACAACGTTTCGTGCACTTGGTTCGACTTATGGGTCAATAAAATCGACCAACAGAACTCGCAATTCGTCGTTTTGTGGACAGATTTGAAGCCACTAGTTCAGTCGATCAATGCATTCCCACGCGTCACGTAGTATAAGAAACAAAAATAATGTTGCTACTGATAGGGAAAGTGTTGCTGGGAATCCAAAATTGATTTTGCAACATTCTCAAGAATTACGCATCATTCGAAATTTTTTGTGGCGAATTTTGTGTAAAAGACTGTGAACAATAATTGTAGTTCGACCTCAGTTTTCGAGATATTTACAAAACCTGTTGGTACTTTCACTTCGCCTGTATGTATGCCATTGGCGCGTTGTGTCTGCAAATGCGACCCGGCACGAGTGTTAGAATCTCCCATTAAAAAAATTTTAAAAACATGAAAATTGTTCTAAATTATTGAAACTTGTATAAAGGTATATAGTATAATGTTTCTTTACTTGATACATAACAACAATACAACAAATCTTTAGTAGTACTCAGTAAATTAAATAAAATTTGAAGTTGCGTATGAAACTTAGCTGTCAGTAAAAATCGTACACTGTTGGTAACATTGGAAATACGGTGAATCCTGTAGCAGTGTGAATCAGAGATGGACATTCGTGGGAATTTTGGACATGCGCACTAGAATTTTCCCTCGTGGGATTCCTTTTTGCGCATGCGTCAGCGTTCTGCCATAGATGTACCTTTAACGCAAACAGAGGTGCCCATGTTTTGTACAAAATTGAACTTTCTACTTCAAATGCTCGCCAATCACACAAAAATTAACTTATCGAAGATCCCCTACGTATTTCTCTAGCTATACTTATGTAGATTAAAAGGAAATTTTTTGTTTACATCTATGGCAGAAAGCTAACGCATGCGCAAAAAGGAATCCCGCGAGGGAAAATTCTAGTGCGCGTGTCCAAAATTCCCACGAATGTCCATCACTGCTTGGGACCGGCCTCGGTCATTTATGTGGGCATGGTTAGTTCTTAGAATTCAACGGAGATAAAGAAAGAGGATAAGTGCGAATGAGGTACAATAGCTGGCACCCAACACGCTCGATGTTCCAAACTGCTTGGCTTCTAAGAATTGGTGGGGATAACCGCGGACACTTATGTGGGCAAAAATGCGGTCACTTATGTGGGCACTACTGTACTAACTTTTAAATAAGTTTTTACAAATATCTCGAAAATTGAGGCCGAGCGAGAATAATAATAATGTTTAGAAGGTAATGCACATTTTTTGCACAACAGAACTCGCAATTCGTCGTTTTGTGGACAGATTTGAAGCCACTAGTTCGATCGTTGATCAATGTATCGCCACACGTCACGTAGTATAAGAAGCGAAAATATAGTACCGCATATGGCCGCACGATGGCGCTTTACGTTGGAGTACTGGTCGACCGTAGGGGAACCCCCCAAATAAAGCTCGCCAGTCGGTCACGGGGAATTCCTGTGCTCGTGTATTGCTATCGAAACAGTTTTATAAAACGTCTCTTCTTCGCTACCTTTGTAATTTTACTGTATGGTTTATTCAATCTGAATAAATTACATTTTATATTACTATCAGACCACAGAAAAGAACACAGTAGTCTTTTGCTAATATTTATACGTTTCTCCTTCGGCAACGTTCACGGAGAAAATAATTTTTCCTGAACGATTTGAAATTTTTTTTTTCATCGAAAAATTTAGGCACCCCTTTCGATTTTTCTTAAAAATTCGTTTTCGATTTTTAGTAATTTTGTTTGACGCTCTACAGAAAAGTCATCTAATACTTTTTTGTAGGTACCCATGAGCTCTACTTCAACAAAAAGTTTCATGGAAATATATTCACTATTGTAGGAGGTATGGTCGTTTGAAAATTGGACTTGGATTTCCACATATTCTTCACCAAAATACGCATTGTTTGCATTTTGAAACATTAAAATCGTCCAATCCGTTCAGGAGTTATGACATTCTAAATATTCGCATTTCGGGGAAGCACTTCTGTGGCCTCACATTAGATTTTCCCTAGGGAATTTTTTCCCGAAAATGTGACAGAAAAATCGTAGTAGATTTTATAAGTGGTAATGATAATCCTTTTGCACTGTATGGAAAAATATATATGTACTTTAATAATACATTGAGTATCACGCACTGCACGAATATTCATAGCGTCAAGAACAATATCGATCGGAAAGCAAAAAATCACCGCCAGGGGCTCTAGCGTCGCGCGACACATTCCTACCAGTGATTGACATTCGTGGGAATTTTGGACATGCGCACTAGAATTTTCCCTCGTGGGATTCCCATTTTGCGCATGCGTCAGCGTTCTGCCATAGATGTATCTTTAACGCAAACAGAGGTGCCCATGTTTTGTACAAAATTGAACTTTCTACTTCAAATGCTCGTTAGTCACACAAAAATTAACCTATCGAAGATCCCCTATGCATTTTTTTAGCTATACTCATGTAGATTAAGAGGAAATTTTTTGTTTTTGTCTATTTCCCTGTAACTTCCTTACTGGGATCCAACGGTACCCTAAATTCTAGTTAAGTGTATACAGCAGTGATCGTGCGCTCCAGTGCGCATGACCAAAATTCCCACGAATATCCATCGCTAATTCCTACAACCATAAAGCGAGTAGACCAATATCGATCTCACCGATCCAACAAAATGCGTGTGTAAGATTTCTGGTCTATGTGTAATGACCAAAAATGATTGCAATCTACCCTTGCAACTGAAAATAATTTTTTTAGAACGATTTGAAATTTTAATTTTGTCGGAAAATTTGTCCACCTTCCTGAATTATTTTCTTCAAAATGGTTAGGATTTCCGGGTTATGACTATTCACCAAAAATGGTTGTAATTGCCCCCCACAACCAAAAATAATTTTTTGAGAACGATTTGAAATTTTGTAATTTTGTCGATAAATTTCACACCTTCTCGAATTTTTTTCTCGAAAGTGGGTGGGATTTCGGGGGTACGTGTAATGACCAAAAATGATTGTAATTGACCCCCACAACCAAAAATAATTTTTTGAGAACGATTTGAAATTTTGTAATTTTGTCGATTTTCATACCTTCTCGAATTTTTTTCTCAAAAGTTGGTAGGATTTCGAGGTTATGTCTAATGACCAAAAATGTTTGTAATTGACCCCCTCAACTGAAAATAATTTTTTCAGAACGATTTGAAAAATTTGAAATTAATTGTTAATAACTTTTTAACGAAGCCTCAGACAAGAAATTGATATTCTTGATTTTCGTCTTATTTTGGCCTCGAGAAGCTCCCATTAAAATTTTTCCCAGGGGTAATCGAACACCCCGTATGTACATGAATTTTGTGAAACTCAAAATGTTCTCCGCGAAAGTGAGTAGAACTTTTAAGAATTTTACTTTCTGACAGTCGTATTATTTTTCCTGCGCGAGATTGCTTCGTTCGCTGTATTTTGTTAGGACGAGTAGATTTCACGGTCCGTTTGCGGTTCCGGTCCAGAAGTATTGTACACTCGGTTGAAAAATACCTGGGGTTCTTGCACAATATTCTACAACCAAATAATATTAGCGAATTTACGAGTGACAAGTTGTAACTTGCATCATATGGTTGCAAGGATTTACACGAAATATTTTTACAAGTCTTTGAGGATCAATAATTTTAATCGCAAACGTGATTATGTGATAATATATTTTTAAATATTATTTGTTAGTGCTAGAATTCGATTTTTAGTCAGGTGAGAATAATTAGGTCTTCTCAATGCAATTACGTCATTGTTGATCGTTC